GTAGCTGGCGGGGGGCGGGCAGGCGAGCTGCAAGCTCTGCATCAGTCATACTCACGGTCGCAAAAAAAAACAATCCATTGTTGCAAAAAGATTAGTTTGGCACTATCGCAAAAAAGAACAGACCACTGTCACAAAAAGAATTATTCTCCATTCCTAGCTCCCTAGAAGGTAATGGCCCATTACCTATTACTAATGGGTCCATTACTAAGGGCCCCTTAATTACTCATTACCAAAAAACATCGACCTTCGATTTATTTTGAATCTCCCCCACTACGGCATGCATTAAGAATGTAGGGCCGGCCAGGCGAATTGGCACAGGGACTGTCTGACAAATCTCCACGATTTGGTTGACAAATGTAGCAGCTGGAATCCAGAGAATAGGCCGACTTGGAAAGATATGACAGGCACCCCGTCCAATTTATTGCAGATGAGTGCACGTGGGCGAGGAGGACCATCCCTAAGCTTGCGTCCAACAAAGACGCGCTTGGATAGCTCATGTGGTGCATGGGAAAATGGGCAAAAGAAGGGGAAAAACTGAAGAGGATGACGCGAAGTTGAATAAAACCCGCAAATGCAAATACATTATATTTTGATTAATAGATGTGCAGCCTGGTGAGAATGCCATTTATTATCTTGTTGATGGGCTCTGTCCAGGGTGACGTTTGGTGGGCGGGCGCCTTCAGGTCCTGGGTCATTGTGGCCTTAATTGCCGCCACTTGAAGGGATGTCCGACGGCCTTCTATCTTCCTTTCAGCTTGGGCCACTGGCTGCCCGCAAAGTTGGGTGGGCTTGTGGCTTTGGCGCCATTTTACATGGCAAGCTTTCCCAAGCTTCGAGTTGGCGGCTAGTGCCTTCCCCTTGGATCCCTTCTATCCTGTTTTGCACCCACCAAGGCCCGCTCCATGAGAGTTTCCGTGGGATATGGGATGATGCAAGGGCGAAGTAAGAGATTGGGGAGTGAGTCATGCTTTGATGGGTATAATGTGTTGCAAAGGAGTGGTCGCAATTTCAAGCCTGTTGCCTCTATTGTACATTGTAACGTGCAGTACATTGTGTGTGAAAGAGTGGTTGGCACAAACAAACGCGATTTTCCGGATTAAATTTCGTTCGGGCTGAAGCTCCAGCGTAGCATGAATCACTGTTTGGGTTCCTACGTCTGGAGCCCAAAAACGTACAATACATGTTTGTCTCCTGTTTTGAAAGACCAAAATTGAGGCAAAAGTTTTTGTTTCCACATCAAAGGCCCAATGCACAATACACATTTGCGTTTCCGTTTCGAAGAGTCAAACATATGGTCGAAGTTGCCTTTGCGTTCGTCATCCAAGTGCACATGTTTGCCATCGTGCTGCAATTTGGAGTCTTTTTCTTGCCTCGGCATTGGTCCAGTATTGTGTGAATTGTTTTCCTTTGATTTTGTTGGTTATCCATCCAGCTATGATTGGCTTTCCGGTTGTGCAATTCCAACTATCCTATAACATTCTGTTTGGCCAGCCCTATCCTTGTGCATGGCAGTGCACCGCCCACACCCAACCGACCCGGTGGCCAGAAACTCTGGGTGCTGTGTTGAATTCCCATTTCAATGGAAGCTTTTGAAATGCAAACGTTTATTGGACGTTGGCGTTGGCGTTTCCACCAATCAAATGTGGGGGGCGCGTATACCTTCCCTTTTCGCAAATCAGAACGTCTCGCACATGTTTGCGTTCCGTTTTGGAAGGCAGACGTAGTGGAAACCTTCATGTTCCCTTATCGTTTGCATAAGCTCACCACTAACGTGAAACGATCGCCGTGCGGGGAAGCTCCAAGATTTAGCGGGATACTTAATCAGCCAGTTGTGAAAATGCGGGCTTGGCAAAGGCCACGCTCGTCGGGCATGGAGCAAAACAGGGAGGTGTGTGGCCCACCTCTGCGCAGGCGTGGGCATGGAAGGCTGTACAGTCAAGATTGAGAACCATCGCCTCATGGCCACAGCTCAGGCCTACGGCAGAAGTGGGTCTGGAAAGCTGCGTGGGGCTTTAGCTTGGGTTGTGCTCCCGAAAGATGAGCACGCCGTCCTTGGCTCACAAATACGCCATAGGAAGACAATGATCAGCTTGTCGGGACTGAGGATTTTTTCAGCGCTTAGCCTCTCCATCACTTTGCTGTGTCATACTGATTGGCTATGTGTTCACAGATGTAGCCAATCGTTGCCCAAGATTGGCTGAAGGAGGTCCCCACCCATTGCCATAAGGTTCATGTCTAAAATTCTATTCATGAATTTGATCACAACTGAGGGAACTGAGGGAAGATGTGGGTCATTGGGTCGAAAGTGGCAAGGAGGTCCGGGATGTGGTGCCACATGGACGTGCAACAACGTACTCCAGGAGCCATCAAATACCCACCTTGACCGCACTCTGCAGAGCCCTTGTAGAATGGTAGATGAAGGACCCTACAGATAGGAAACACGAAGTATGGTCCTTGCCAAAATGCTGTGATGCGGTGGAACGTGATTGCCAAGGGCTTCCTTTGATGAGCAAGGTTGCGATCTGGATCCCACCTGAAGTACAGTTATGTGCGCACTCGAGTCACAAGATCTGTGTGGCTGCCTCTGGACTGCTTCTCACTGCGGACAATTGAGGGTGGGGTAGTGTGACATGCATGATTGCATTATGTAATCAACGTGCTGACACACCGTCAGAAGACACAACGTGCTGACACAATGTCCAACAGTGACTGTTGGGTACACCCAGCGAAATGCGCATGAGTGCACGAAGGCTAGAGCGCCGACAAGGCTCTGGCAATGTTTGCATGCGTTGAAAATGGAATTGATGCCAATTGTCTCTCATGAGATTGGTATCCCGCGAGCTGAGTTTCGAGTGGCTTCACCCCATTGCAATCATGGCAAACTATTAACGTCATGTCGAGGATGGATGACGTATTGCGGGAGTCATATTAATTAACTGAATGTCTGTCCATGTCTCACTTCAGGGGGCAATGGTGTTCGATCATTGCCCTCAAGATAATGTCCTTGACGGGATACTTCTTCGCCCGTTATGCATTGGTCAATTTCTCATCCGTAACGCTTAATATTGAGGCAGCTGCAATGGCACAGTAAACACCGCCTGATTAAATTCCTGTTTGCCACCGTGATCCCGTCGTTTCTGCCTTGTCGGTCACCTCGACTCAGATGTTCACACGTGCCAATGACATTGCATTCCAACTCAGTTGGTGTCCATCACCATCATTAACAAGAGGCTCCCACGAGCAATTGTGAACTATCGCTTCGCTGGCAGCTGAGCCGATTCACAAGACTATGACCCACCTGCATCCAAATACTGTACCTAAATGCTCATCCATGCACAACTAAACAGAATATCAATCTCTAGGGTGGGACCGGATAGGAGCGAAACAAGGGTGTGTGCTGAGGGCTCTGCCCCTTCAAACCCGCCACCCCAAGTGCACCGAGCTTCCAATCGTTACTTTGAGCGGACGTTGGCTGCTCCGCAGTAGGGTGGACCAAAACCCTGCAGAAGGGGACCAGGACTGGCACTCAAAAAAGAGAGCCGACTTAAACTGCATCGACACCCTATCCAGCACCGCCCTTGAAAGAAATCCATTGACAAATAGGTATGTTCCTTGGTGCTCAGGGAAATGATCTTCTTGTTCTCTCTATAGCTCTGTACTGCTACCACACAAAATGCAAAGTCGTGTTCTGGTTCTAGCAGAATATAGCATGGAAGTAGCTTGAAAAACTATAAGACCAGGTTCGGGAGCGGCCGGCTGGCTTTGAGGGTCGTTTGTAAGGCGGGCTAGGACAGTCTGATCTTTGCACGAATACTGCATGGGATTCTTGATGCCCCTCTTTGCCTCTTTGCGCCAAAAGGGTTATCTAGTCCCTCAAGGGGAAAGGCTATTGTTCTCTCCCTTTTGGTCTTTTCGCAGCGGGGGATCAGCTTCAGACAAAGTTGTGCTCGAATAAACTGTTGCATCCAAACTGCTAATTCATTGCGCCAAATGGCAACTGTAGCCCATCCCGCATCAGGCAATCTCTGTTTGAGCTGCGCTGAATGCCTGAATTGTTGCAATCACAATAACGTGCAGTGCTTTGATTGGGGCCATTAACTGTGTTTTTGGTGCCATTCTTCACCACTGCGGTGGCTTAGTACAGCCAAGTCCATCGAGACGAGTCGGAGCAGGCTACATGCACATGTACATCCAACCTGTATTTCAACAAAGTTTAGCCCAGCCGTTCTTTATGACTTGAGGTTTGAGATACCTCGATTCACAAACTCAGTTTCTATTGGTACCTGAAGGGAACCAAGCAATTCTCAATGTGATGACTCCTGTTGGCGTTTACCTCATTCTCGAGTCGAGACGAAACACCAAAAGGAACACATCACCCTCACCGATCTTATTCTACAACCCAGGCGCACTTCCACCCACAACGGGGTATCCACCTCTTGGTCGATCACGCGCCCAATCACCCGACACTTGACTGAACAGAATGGAAGCCGCAACGACTACCATCACCCACCAACCCAACATCTCGCCACAACGCCATTGGCGATGACCATTGCAAAGCAAGAATTTAGCACGGAAGAAATTGCCCGCCCAATCCCCACCAACACAACAACCAAAGACATCCCTGCAACTAACAAGATATCCCGCCTGTGCTCCCAGACTTTGCACAAAGCTTGTGACTCTCGTTACACGAGAATGGAAAACCGCAACGACTACCATCACCCACCAACCCAACATCTCGCCACAACGCCATTGGCGATGACCATTGCAAAACAAGAATTTAGCACGGAAGAAATTCTCCACCCAAACCCCACCAACACAACACCCCAAGACATTCCTGCAACGAACAAGATATCCCGCCCGTGCTCCCAGACTTTGCACAAAGCTTGTGATTCTCGCTACACGAGAATGGAAAACCGAGTGATACGGATCATATTGCAGCTTGGCATCTGCCTGAATGAATCTTGCCAGCGTGATGGACCCAGGGCTGCACTTCATGTGGTTCATGCAGAGTGATCATGGCGGGCATGGCTTGCTGCCCTTGTCGACTGCAGATGCAGGAAGCATGGATTTTAGACAAGACTGCCAGAACAACGAATAATGGGCGTGTCAGAAAGGTGAGCCATCACACAGCCAGTTGGAACCTCAAAAATCAGCCAGCTGACGATCTCGATAAGCAAGGCTGCAAAATTTTGCCTATCATCTGATACTAGTGTCAATAAAATGTCACAAACTGCGGCTTCAAAGCAGTTGTGCCTACATATGGTCACCAGGTTGAAAAGTAGCACGAAATACCACTTGCGAGAATGTACTCGCCGAAATATTTGTTTCGCCACTAGAACATTCTCACTGGCTCAGGATCATTTGGACATGGGTAACGCAGCTGTTCAATCCTACAACACAATGTGGCTTGCTTTTGGCACTTTTTGGCACCTGCACACTTCTCAAGGAGTCGATTCGACTCATCGACATACCAAGCGCTCCCTTTGGGCGGCAGCCATCGTCTTCCAGAACTGGCAAAACAGCAGTGCCAATTAAAAGAATTTCAGCGAGCCCCATTTTCAATGCAGCTTCCAGGGTGGAACAGTATTGCGCCCCAACTGCTGGTTGGCATATAGTTCAGGAACACCACAAATGCCTCAACAATGGAAAGCAGTCAGCTCAATTGGCAACATGGCAACATTGTGCCCCTTCCGCATGAATGAATCTCATCTGGTTGGGATGCCCATCACGTTCCATATCTCCACCATGGCAGCCGGCACCAGCACGACAAGCACAGTTGCGACAAGGTTACGGAATCGTGGGATGGCCCATGTTGACGTCAAGAGCGGCCACCCACAACACAGACTTCAGATCGTAAAATGAAAATCACACAGCGAGCCTCACCATGGAACCCACAATTACTATCATCTCGCATGTTGCTGTGCATGCAACGGCAAAGGCCACATTGAGGATCTGCACAAAGAAAGATAATCGTGTCAAACAGCCACTTGCCATTTAAATATCAGTATGCTATCCTTGTCAGCTTGTGCGTTCTTGATTATAGCAAAGCCAATGGATAATTGCATTCAGACATGAAGGCATCAAATACGAATCCAGCGTCACACAATGGCTTTCCTTGTTGGCACTCGGAACTAATTCTGTGGATTGGTGGACTCCACTGATCGCATTCCAATTGAGCACGTTGAAAATTGGAGATCATCTGCACAGATGGCTTGCCATTCGAATTCAATCGCAGAAAGGCTGCTCCACAGCAACAAGGGCGAAAGACAGACAAACATATTTCCTGCCAGGCGAAATCACACGCCACAAAGCACACCACGGCATAGACATTACACAATAGGGATGGTTGACAGCAAGGCCCACTGCTGTTTCATGTCAAGGGGCAACTAGAATCTGCCATTGTCACTGTTGTCAGCTCCATACTACAAACTGCAACAAAGCCAGGCATGCAGTTTTCACATTGCAACACAACAAACTGCAACAGAAGAAACCAATAGCCATTAGTAGATGCAGGACCACCATGCACGCAAAGGCATCTACCACCTACCTCTTCTCTGCGCTGGTATTCAGTCAGAGTGCTATTACATTGCTGCTGTGGCACCTGTTCTTCGACTTGACAACTCCTGTGGGGCATGTTGCCAGGTAATGTAATTCTATTCATCCAACAGACAACCTCCATCATTTTTGTTGCCACTACAGCATGCAAACCCCTTTTCCTGTTCTCTGCCTTGTCGATATCGAATGATACCACACCAAGGATCAAATCAGTGTTGGGTGTACCAAACTGAAGAGGCTCTGAAAGAGCCTTGTCAGGACTGGCCCCCAAATCCATGTACAGTACTGGAAAGCCTGAGCTGCCTGCACCGCACACAGAAACAATCAAACAAACCGTTCGCGCCTATAACTTCCAGAAGCATCAGCCAGATTGGTGTATACAAAAGACCACTGTCGCGATGGCACAACAGCATCGTTGGAAACAGCAATGCTGATACTGCTGGGGGAAACATAGTTAGCAGCAAAAGCATGCACCACCTTGTCAGCAACCTGCTGAACACCTAATATGGCAGTCCGCACATTCTCCATGGTGCACAAAGTAAGTCTCTTGTATTTCTCATGTATGCCATCGACAGAGAAAACCCCAAGACAAATGGTCACTCCACAACACTCTCCAATTACCCCAACACAGCAACATAGCCAACACAACCTGCTTGGGGGTGAATATAACAGGTGCTGTTTTGTATTGCCACAGGCCCTGTAACACTGATTCTGATCAATTCTTTGAGTCGCTTGTATCTGAGGAACCACACTATGCAAGAAAAAGCTCCTCCACCTACCTCTTGGCATGCTGGCAAAAGATGAGGTGAGACACATTGTATGAGGTCCAGGCTCTGACATTGTGTGGCAGGGGTCTTTATCGCCAACAAAGAACGAAGCAACCTGGATGGACCTCCTTTTTGCATCATTCCTTGGTTCCAGACGGAAGGCAAAGACTAACGCACTATTGAAAACTCCATTATACTCAGGGTCTGCAGTTGGCGCTATATCATCAGAGGTCAGCACTCCTTCGACATTGACCTTCAGGAGCGCAATATCAACTGATTTCAGATCAGCTACTTCAGTTGAATCTGTCCCTTCCAGTGGATGTGAAGGATGGTAGTGAGTTTCCTCAGCCCGCACTATCTGTAAAGAGACACCAACATGCAGTTGGCTGTGAGAAATGTTCAACTTTTGACTGCATGAAAATGATGTGTAGGTGGGCCTTGATGCAACTCTTGATAAGGAGCGAAGCCACACGGCAGGTGATTCCATAAATCCAATCCTTCATTTCGGTTGTCATTGTTAACATTGCAAGCAGAACAATCGAGCCACACGTGGCACTTGCACATTAATACACGCTGCTGGAGGCATGTGGACACACAAGTCACGAAACACTTCACAACTGTCCTTTGCCTGCACCAGTAAGGACTGTCATGAAGGTAGTTTAACTAAACAATTACTGTCACTGGCAACTAACACCAACACCACAAGCACCACGCCAACTTTTGAACACATGGCAAGCACCCATCTGAACTACAGACCTACTGACAAGGTATCTTTAGGAGTTTCATCAACACAGTGTAGTTCTTAGGCCCCAAGCTTCAAAGTACATTGCCAGCGAAAACCATCCAGTGTACACTGGAGTTGCGGTGGACTTCTGCTGTCATTATCTCTCACTCTGAATGAAAGTCCCCACAATGTTGGGGCCCACCATTTGGGGCCCACATGGTTAGCATGCACGGCATCAAGCAATCAACATACATCCAGGAGGGACCCCTTTTGTAGTCGACACTGCCTATGGAGTTGTTACCACACTTAGAGACATGGCAGTAGCTCCAGGAAGAGACACCCAAGGACTGCCACAATTCAGCATTTGCAGTGCCAAAAGGGGTGTTGGCAGCACTGGCATTGCAGTTCAACTGTGAGAAATTACAGAGGGTCTTATTTGGCTCCGCACACAATGTACACTGCAGCAGTCAATGCAGAACTCTCCAATGACTGCAAGCATGGACTCAACCATCCTGTTATCATCAAAATGCCTGCACCAAAGCCAAGTCACACCACAAGCTTGCTACCAATGCAGTGCCAACCAGGGCACATTATATCACCTTTTCAGCCATCACAGTGCCATTTTCATAGGTGCCAGTTGCACCCAGGGCCACAAGAGCATTCGATCCAACAACCCATATGCAGTGGTATGCTGTTAGGACATAATTTCCTCGCACGATAATGCCTCCACAAACAGGCTCCCTCATAGCATTCAGAATAAATGCGAGATAAGGATGTCGACCTCTTGCGATGTTCTGCCACTGCAAACAGGGACAGCAGTCAGATACATGACATCTGTGGTATTTCAGGGCAATTGCTGGCTTCCTTGGCCTTGCAACCATGTCCAAGTTGGGCACAGACAAGATTTGCATCTACAGTTGGAGTGTGCGCATGGGCTTGAGGCATGGCACTTTGTAGCATCGCCATTTCGATGTTATCAGATTCAAAATTCCAGTGGCTGTGGTCACCAGCATGCCTATTCAGAAGTGATTGTGATTCTAAAATGGATGCTCTTCGCTGCGTGCTCTTCAAAGATGCTGGAGTGTTTGATCGTGCTGTGTGCCATCCTTCATTTCTTGTTCCAATTTACATGGCAATTCCACTCCCGTTTGGACACAAAAGCTTCCAACCACACCAACTTCAGCAAGGAGGCAACCAGCAGGTAGCCAGTGGTTCCTGTTGCAAACCTAGGGAGACTGCACTTGAGCTGTCCGCAAACATTCTACATCGGCAATTCTTGAAAGCCACACGTGGGCATACATCTTTATGGCCATCCACTGGCAGGCTGAAATCCAAGGTGGCCTGTGGCATCTGTCCAGCAGTGTAGGCCTTGCCACTGTTTAAGGCCCACTCTTGTTCCTTGTCAACAGAACTCTCCTTCGCCAATCCTGACACACCATACCCTGCAGCCAGGCACCAGTCATCGTCTTCCAACTGGCAATCGCAACAACGGTAAAGCCATTCTACATCTTGAAACCAGCTTTCAATGTTTGTTGACAATCAATGCAGTATTTGTAACATGCTTGGCACATTCACAGTCTTGTGACAAACGGTCAGGCGTGCGGTATGCTCATAACAGGCACAGTTGAGGAAAGGCATGAGCGGGGGCAAATGGTACCGGAGGCAAAACTGGAACCAGAAGATTGCCAATGTAGGCAGGGAATTATAGAGCACAGAAGCTTACAGATTGCATAGAGGCAGTTTGCCTCCACACCACAACTGCTTCCTCTCTGGCACACTAGTGCCACAAAAGGAGGTAAGGGTTGCACAGAAACAGTACTGGTTGCATATTTTATGATGATTACTGCAACATGTGGTTGCAAGATCTCAATTGCATTCTTCTATCCAGTTCAGAGTGGGAATGCCCAGTAATCACAAATGGAGTCTAGTTGGACATTTACAGTCGCTCTCCTTCAATCAACCGAGCAGACTCAGCAGCAACAACATCCGCACATGTTCACCAATTTTCTAGAAGAAATGTGTTACTACAGAGCCACATGCCCCTTACCACTATTTGCACTTTCACTGGCCAGGCATGCAGGCATCAATCTGACAGCAGCTGCTGTCATAATCAATGCATAAATAATGGGAAACAAAGTGTGGCCCAATCTCCTGTTGTGTGGCATGGCTTGTAGGCGTGTGTTGCAGCAGTCTTACTCCAGTCCGGTGTCCTTTCCCAGCTGTGCTGGACGTTCCTCCTTCAGTGCCTTGCCAATGCAACCACAGGCATAATCAGGAATGCTGTCAAGCAAGAGGGCTCATAAACCACTATGCCACAGCCCAGCAGTGGTGGGCTGGAGACAGTGGAAAAACTTAGCTCTGAACCAATCAGGCACATGGCCTGCGTTGATTTCATCATGCCCTGCCACGCCAACCTTGCACACGGCTGCGCAACCTGACTGCAGCAAATACTGTCAACACTGCCCTGACATTTGTTCAAACACCAACTAATAGCAAGTCTTGGGCACAAACTGCCCAGCAGCACACTGCACCCTTCCACAGTGGCTGCTCCTCAATTTTGTGATGTGCAGGCCAATGCGTAGGGGTAGCTACCTCCACACAAATGGTGATACCGTGATGTGCCATCGCTGTATGCAAGACTGTGGCTGTGCTATTAAGCTGCTTGACAGCTGCTGGTCAAGAGTTTCCATTGCCACAACCTACAAATGTGGATTCCTTTTACCCTGGATACAAATCTGGGTACTATTTGTCAACATCTACGATTTTATTCAAAGGTATTGCAAGAAGGTGGACAGCCAGCAGGCATTGTACTTTGTTCTACATTCTCAATATGTACGGGGATGTGCTCACTTTGCAACGATGATTGGGGACGGATTCCACTTCCTGAGTGCCAGATATCACGCGGTGGCAAGGATAGGAGCTGGCTGGATGGCAGGCTGGATGCCATTTCCCAACAATATAGTGTGCAAGGTAAGTGTGGATGCTGCCTATGGGCCACAAGCCTTCTTAGTGCAGAAAAAGAGATTGAAGAGAAGTGCTGCCCGTACATATTGCATGCCCTATTGGTGGTCGTTGTACAGTGGTAATGCACAAGGCAGTATGACCATCAGTGCTGCCAATCATGTCAAGTCAAACTTGCAGCCGTACTGAATGCATCCCCAAGGCGAGATCTCCACTGAGTGCCAAGATATGGTGCAGCCCTGCAGCTTCACCCATTCAGTGTCATGGAGGGGCGTTCCCAAGTGTTGATCTTGTTGTTGACATGGTTTTATTGCTACTATCCATCTAGCAGCCCAGCATACTGCACGTGTGCCCAGCTTTGAACATTAATTCCCAGAGTTTACGAAGAATCCAAGTGACAATCCTGCACACCACCAAGATTGGAAACAGAACCTTGCGCTTGAAGCGAATTCAGAAAGGCCAGCAGTGTCTGCCTTTCCCGCTGATGTTCTAGCTTGTATGTTTTGGACAATTCTGAACACTACTGCCACCATAGATTGGTGCTGTCGTGCCTGTATCAAGATCCGTGTCGGAGCGAAAGGGTGGGTCGTGGCATGATGCTTGCAGACTGTGGCAAAGAAACTGCCACCCTGAGTCTTTGTCCAGACTATATCAACTGCAGAGAATTGTTTGCCAAAAAGTATTGCATTTGTACAGCGAACTGGGCCGATGTCATGGTAAACATAAACGCGAATTCAGCGATGCACAAATTGCACAATTGATCGCTTGCCACTGTTATGCCAATGGCAGGATGACCCGACAGCACCAAGAGTTGCCAGACACAGGGTGTCAATCAAAAACATTGTGCCATGTGTGCACATCTTGTTGAAAACTTGGCGCTGTATCCTTGCGCCCCCTTCCTATCCTTCTATCTCTTAACTGCCTTTCCTATCTGCTATCCATTATTTGTATCCCGCCCTATTATCCTGTACCACAAAATCCAATACAATCATCGCTTATGGCTCAGTGCACCAACTTTGGTCTCAACGTTGCTTGTGTGCACACCCAATCCCACCAAGTAAAGCCTTACAAGCTAAGGGCACGCTGCCGAATGCTCACGGCAAGTCACCGAACATCACCTGTATGGCACCATTTCGCATTCAGTCTCCTACTCTTTGGACAGCTCTAGGCACCACCTCCAAATCGCAGCCCTCACCTCGTCGCCTGGAAGTGGACGCACGGCTGCTCTGTGGTGGGTCTGAGGACACCAGAAATCTGCTGTCAGCTTGGATAGCTGACATATCGGGGACCCGCTGTGCAAGACAGCTCGAATTCGGGTACATTGGCACTGCTGAGAACATACCCAGACACAATTTCTGCCGGCTGCCCATGGCCATGGGTGTCGTCGAGTTCTGGGGTGGAGCCTGTTTGAGCACCCCGTCCCGTTTGGTCAGCTCCAGGACCGGCCACCCTGCCCAAAGGGGCCTCGTTACGGCGTTGTCACAGGGCGCAGTCGCGCTGGCACCCAGCGGAGAATCTGGCAAGTGTTTAGTCAAGTAGGGGGCGGCGAAGACGGGGAACGGCCAACCCTTTACCAGATGAAACATGTCAAAAGATTTTTGGTTGCTTTCTTTCATTTCTCTAATTGACTGGGGCCCCGCGTGCACACTGAATGCCACAACATCATTTTCATGAGCGACAAGCTTTTTGGTACGGATGAAGTCCTGCTCCGCATTGCGACCGGACGACGCGTCGGTCACGGGCGGGTTGGAGTGCAAATGGGAGCGGAGGAGGAGGACAACAAGGCGATATGATATTCATTTACGTGCACAAACCCTTCAATCTGCCTGCCGTGCAAATGTACATGCGATTACAAACAGTTGATTGAGTTGATTGGCTTCCTACGCCTGTCTCCCCCCAAAGCTCCAGATGCCCGATTCCTCCACCCCGATCCTCCTTCCGCACCGCGAGCAGCCCACCGTCTCTGAATTCCGGCTGCAGCTGCACCACTGGTCGATCGACTCCCGCAAACACAGCCGTCGACACCCCGACACATTTCGCAAACTGGGCTCCCCTTTCGATGCGTGTGTTTGTGATTGCGACTGCCGCCGCCAAAGCCCCGAGAATGCGGAGGCTACCGTTCGGTCGTGCCCCGACGCGCCTGGGCGCTGATCGAATTCCGCCGGGTCTTTGCCGATCTGGACAGACCCACGTTTCCCTACACTGCCCCGCATCGATGCCCGTGTGCAAAGCCCCCGAGGGGGCGATCTCGCTAAGCTGGCGTGGGCACCAGTGACACAACCGGGGGCGGTTGGTTATTGGCCCAACAAGTAAATAAGAGAATATAATTTTTCCTGGAAAGAGACCACCTAGAGGGGCTCTCCACGCCATCCAGAGCGCACATCCATCTGTAAAGGGTATGTGCAAAGGGCCAAGATGGTCGGCGGGCGAAGCGCGAGGCGGGCCACAAACCCGCCACCGTCGATGAGTAAGTCATTTTTCCAACCTGGCATATCGTTGATCCCAAAGGAAACGCCACCTGGGGACGATCTCGCCTTTCCCTGTCGCTCACCGGTGGTGGGATGGCGGCGGCGATGGCGGCGGGGTGGCACCCAGCTCCTTCGGGACTTGGATGGATCAGATGTCCTCCATCCCCGCAGGCGCCAGGTCCCAGCCCCTCCGCCGAAACTCCTCTCGCCCCTAAGGCCACCACAACTCGCATCAACGGATCCGGTAGTCGAAACTCCGGGCGCCGACACCATCTAGGTTTTCTCTTTCGGACAGCTGCAGAGCGTCTGTACCCCCCCCCCCTGGACCACCATCGTGGGAAAGGAGACCGAGATCCTGCCCGTCCCCCGTGCAACCGAGCCAATGCGATCCGGCCGGGCTGGGCAGCTGCGGGCTCCCTTTTGGCGCAGCCCTTGTCCATGAATCGGTACCCGCCCAACTCAAGGTCAGGAGGGCAGGGGCAATCTTGCCCTGACGAATGCCGAGTACTGAAAGCCCGGGCACAAGTCGCGCGAGGTGCAAAACTCCGCTCGCAGCAGGCCACCCCGCGGGGGGCACTGACTCTTGACACCCGTGGCGTACCATACCGCTTGCTGGTGACCCGGCAGCACGTGTTCCGCTCCCTTTCGTCGGTGTCGGGGCGGAACTCTTCGGCGCTGGGCGCTTTTGTGTTGGCAGCCTGCCCAGGTCCACCAGCGTGGCATGCAGCGTCATTCCCACGCGGCCTGACCTCGGCAAAAGACGACAAGAGGCGTCCAGTCTTGAACAGGCGTATGCGGAGCCACCGCATTGCCACGTGGTCCGGTGCTGACAGCGGCTTTTCAAGAGGTGGCGAGACCGAAAACGCGGATCGAAATTGCGCAAATGTTAATGTGTTCCGATTAGGGAACCCTGGGTGGGCGCCTTGCGAATCCGCAGTTAGGCTGCACCGGGTGCAGTGGGCAAGTGCCAGCAGCCTGGTTGTCTTTTCGCACTGACAGCAGTTCTCCCTGCAGCTTGGATCCATTTGTCAGCAGGCTGCGTCCGAACTGTGGCCAAGAGTTTGTGGACTCTTGGCAGCAGTTGCAAAGGGACCCAAGGCCTGTTTTCTGATAAACCCTCCCCTGCCTTGTCAGGCTTGTCTCGGATCTTGAGCGGGCTCCTCATTAAATGGGTGCCCAAAGGCCCCCAACAACCTTGCTTTGCTCCCGGCAGACCGGCCCTTGGAATTTGTGTTTCACATGGGGTTTGGAGTATGAAGTAACAGCGCCTAAATTCTTGTGTCGCGTGGGGACAATTCAGATTGGCGATCCCGGACATTGTACAGAAGGAACATACCTGATGTGCTTTTCAACACGGTTGGCCAACCCACGGGTCGGGCGAGGAGAGGAGCGGTCAAACGGAAATGGATAGAAAGCTACTAGCATGGAATGCTTGACGGTGCTGCAAGCAACTTCCTGGACAGCATTTGCCACGCAAACACGTAGTTGAGGACGTACCTGGTGCAGAATCTGACGCATCTCAGGACGTATTCCTTGGCCCGGACTGAACATGCGGAATGCACTTGTTCTTCCACTGTTTTATGTACAGTCGTGTCCGCACTTCCCAAGCCTGATTTCACCAAGACAAGGGAGTAATACATTGGCTTGCTGGGAAGAGGCAAGGAATGGGGCGATTCGCGCTGGAGATGACGCGATGGCTGCATCGGACGCCGCGTCCTGCCAAAGTCCTACCGCCTCAACTCGTGAGGCGTCAAACCAGTGATGGGCCCGCAGCAACGCAACATAACCCACCAAAAACGGGCGCCGCAATCCATGAGCGCACATCCACGCGTGTCTCAAGGTCATTTACCCAGAAGGCCGCGGCTGGCCGCCCTGCCGCGCGTGGTGGCCGTCAAGCCGGCTGCCCTCCGGTTGCCGTCAAAGTCGTGGCTCCCCCCGCGGGACCTTCGGCGCATGTGAGACGTGCGAATCACCCGCCCCCTCCCGTCACACCCGCCAACAACATTGCCGTCCCAGGCCCTTCGCACCCGCACGCCGGGCCCCTCCCACCTCCCCACGCCCCTTGGGGGCCGCATTACGCCCTGTCGGCATCAATACGCACACCCACCCCAGGCATTTACGAGAGTCCCCACACAACTCCGACACCGCCCATAAACGCCCCTCCCCACGCCCCCCAAGCACCCACGCGCGCCCGCACCTTACTCCAACGACCGCTGGGGAAAATGAAGTCGTTCAAGTACGTGCTCCTCGGCGGCGGCACGGCGTCCGGCTACGCAGCTCGGGAATTTGTTCAAAGGGGGGTGGAGCCGGGGCAGCTGTGCATCATAACTTCGGAGGCCGTGGTGGCTTACGAGCGGCCTGCGCTGAGCAAGGGCTTCCTGCTGGCGGACAAGCCGGCGAGGCTGCCCGGCTTCCACACCTGCGTGGGCAAGGGCTGGGAGCGGCAGACGCCGGAGTGGTACGCCGAGCATGGTATCGAGTACATGACGTCCACCAGGGTGGTGTCCGCGGACATCGCCGGCAAGAAACTGGTGTTGGACTCCGGCGAGGAGGTGGGGTACGAAAAGCTGATCGTGGCCACTGGCGCAAGGCCCGCCACGCTCAGGGAGTTGGGCGTCCCCGGCGCTGAGCTGGAAGGGATCCATTACGTGAGGGAGGTGGCGGAGGCCCAGGCTCTCTACGATGCGATCGCCGATTGCAAGGCAAGGTCGGCGCGCGCGGTCGTCATTGGCGCGGGTTACATCGGCATGGAGGTGGCCGCGGCGCTGGCGGGCAACGGGCTGGCCGTGACGATGGTCTTCCCGGGCGGGATGCTCATGGAGCGCCTGCTGCCCCCCGAGGCTGCGTCGTTTTATGAGGAGTATTATAAGGAGAGGGGCGTGGAGGTGATGTGGGGGCAGCGGGGGGCGGGCTTCGAGGGGGAGGAGGGGCGCCTGGAGGCTGTGCTGCTGCAGGACGGGCGGAGGATCGAGGCGGGCATGGCGGTGGTGGGCATAGGTGAGTGGGGCCGGGAGGAGGGGAGGGGTGGTGGGCGACGGGGCCGCGAACGGCGCTTTGGGCCAGGTTCGGCCATGACCGTTGAAATTGTCGCGGCGCGAAACGCGAAACGCGGAACGCAACGCTGGTTGGGGAGTTTTTCTTTTTTGTTCAGATTGCTGTTTTTTAACCCGCTTTTGCCTTGCGTTGGTCGTGTTTTGTTTTGTTTTTTGTCGATGCGCGTTGCTCGGCGGCGCTTTCTTGCGAAGCGCTGGCGATTGTTGGATCGCTGTGTTGGCCCGAGCGGCCTTTCCTTGCCTGGGCAGACCTGCCCAGGCAGAGCCTCTCAACTCGTCAAGATAGAAGTGATTCCACGTTTTTTTTCAAACATTGCAATATGCCGCCCTTCACCTGCCTGGAGACGTCAGCTTCACAGTGCGCATTTGGGTGGGCATGCGAGTGCACTCCTGAGCTCGAGGTGGGCAATGTCCATGAGAGGACAAGCTGGATGTCTTGCATTGCACCATTGTGTGCACTGCATACGGTACCAAATCCACATGCTCGAATGCATACAGCGCTGTGTGCAACATCCTGAAACACTGCAGTTGGAGTACTGTATTTGAGCTGGTAGTCCAGGCTGCTGCAAAGGGCAGAAATAGGGTGAGGTCATTTCAGCACAACTGAGTGGACTGGTAGAGAAGTAGATATGTATCTGCAGGGAGGCCATCACAGACAATTCTCCCATGTTGGCAAAGCATACCACTGTGGAGTGTCCCCTAGCTGTTTTCGCCTGTGCTTGAAAATTGCACTCGCTCATGTCCTAGGTAGATTCAGAAACAGTGAAAACCATTGGGCATTGCCTTACCCACGGAGCAACCTCTGGTGAGAAACGGAATGTTGCATTTAGTGGCGTCGCTCACACAGATGGAGGCAATGCCACATGCCAAGTGCAAGTAGTTGGCATTTCACATCAAAATGCTCCCACATAACCAGAGTTCATTCATTCTGTTCACATTGCCAGTTTGCGCTTGTGCTCTTTGTGCATCCCTGCTGCAGCTGTGCTCCACAACTGTGCCAGGCTGTACACTGGCTGTAGATGTATTGTGGCAATTATGCCAGGTGGGAAATGGGAATACAATAGTCACTGGGACCAGTTGAACCTACAAACAGTGTTGAAAATAGACAGACAGGCAGAACAGTGAAAGGTAGTGCTTCTTCACCGTGTTCCATGCACAAAAACAGCAGCCACAACTTGCCGTGAGTATGCCATGGCAGGAATGGCAGCAGTTGCGAGCATTATGAACAGAATGTTTTGCACCACACTGTGTCGCATTCTGGCAATCCACTGTGGAGCTTCTCAAAACATGACGTACAATTGCACTGGCAACAACCTCTGGCATTTTAAATCCTTTTTGGTACCAGTTACTTCTGTGGGAAACAAGGATATCCTTCAATTTCATGGGGAGGCTATAGCTCTTTTGAGGGGAGTTAGAATTGAAACATTGCAGCCTGTGGATTCCTGGATCTGATAGATGATCCCCAACGATGCATCGTCGTGATACTTAAGGGGAAGGGTGCCTTGCCAGTATGGGCCCCCCAGAAGGAGGCTGCAGCTAATAGATCTGTTGCCTCACAGTACCCAGCGTGCACTTTCTTGTGTGGAGATCCAGAAGTCATGTTTTTCCATAACGATTCCAAATTTGGGATTCAGTTTGCCTCACTTTGCTCTGAAAATAATTCGCCTACTACACACATAGCTGCGGCCCCCTTTGCTGAAACGACCGTCTATGCTGAGGGTTTGTCCTGCGGGGTAGTAGAGACTTGTTCTTGACTTCATTGATTATGGTCGTCTAGGGCGAACAGCCACCTAACTCACAACCAAATGAAGGGCGATCCCCCAAAGGAAATAAGATTTGAGGCGCTCACTTGAAGTGAGAGTTGCCGCGCCCCGGGACATAAATTTCTTGACGCCAGGCCGTGCATCTGTCATTCGATAATCAAGGCCCTGTGGGCTCCCAAGAATTGAACTCTGGAATTCAGGCCCTAAAAGTTGAGCCGCCGTCTCAAAATGGATGGCTGTCGTTGCGCTGAGCTCAGATTTCTGACGCCTCGCCGCGCATTTTTGTTGCCCAGGCGCCAGGGTGAACAAGGAGCTCTTCGAGGGCCAACTGGACATGGCCAAGGGCGGCATCGAGGTCGACGGCCGCCTGCGCACCAGCAACCCCGACGTCTATGCCATCGGCGACGTGGCCGCCTTCCCGCTCGTGGGCTACGGCGGCCAGCTGCAGCGCCAGGAGCACGTCACCAACGCGCGCCTGTCCGCCGCCCACGCCGTCTCAGCCATCATGGCCCCCGAGGAGACCGGCGACTACGAGTACCTGCCCTTCTTCTACTCGCGCTTCTTCGCCCTGTCGTGGCAGTTCTACGGCACCAACAAGGGCAAGAGCGTGATGTTCGGCGACAAGGGCGCAGCCAAGTTCGGGATGTACTGGCTGGCGGAGGGCAGGGTAGTAGGGGCGTTCCTGGAGGGGGGGAGCGCGGAGGAGTTCGGGTGGATCAAGGCCGTGGCGCTGAGGCGGCCGGAGGCGCCGGCCACCGAGGAGCGCCTGGCGGCCAAGGGGCTGGCGTTCGCGGCGGCGGTGGCGGCGCAGGAGGCGTAGGGGAGGGGGCGGCGGGCGGGCGGAGGTCGTGGGGGACCCAAGAAATTGCATGAATTGTGCACAACTGCGTACAAGTGTTAACGCGATTTGGCGCAAGTCCCCAAATCGCCCTCAAACTGCGTGGGGATGAACCCCCAAGAATTGCATGAATGGCGCGCAATTGTGTACATATATGACGCGATTTGGCGCGAATCGCGTGAATTTGCGTTATCTGCGTCAATCCAGTGAGATTGGACGGGCCCTGCAAGGACTTATGCAAGGATTTATGCAAGTGGTGCAAGACGGTGTGTTCAGGAAAGGCTGTTGTGGCTCTAGTTTGTCGACGCGGGCGGCGACGCACTTCCTCGGTGCTTTGTTGGGGGCGGCGCTGCATTGCTGACAATGGCGGTGTGGGTTAGCGTAAGTTAATAGAATCGGTGCATGGCGGCTGGGGCCAGATAAGGCTTTTGGATAGAATCTAGTCGCACGTGATTGGCTTTATGTTGGAAGGGATTGCAGATCTTGTACTGGGCGCCTTCCTCTCAAGCAAGAGGCGGGAAGCTTGGCTGCAGAGCAGCAAGCAACACAGGGTCGGCGCCATGGGAGCATGCTGGACACTTGCTGTTGCGCTGACGAATTTTTTGTGTCTATTTGTTGTGGTGTAACGTGTTGTGGGCTTGTAGATTTGTGAATGTAATGGCGCGGCATTAAATTCTGCTTTCGCTGAATTTCTGTCACTGGTGGATCATTGTCCTCGAACCCATCAGCGGCGTCCTGCCCATTTCGCTCCATTTGTGACTGTGCTTGGGCTGCGATAAATTGTGATAACAATATGTGTTGCCTTTAGTATTGACATCAGTAGCCAGTGGCGATATTGCGAACATGTGAAACGGGGGCCCAATTATGTACCACAGATCACGGAAGATCACGCGCTTTCCCCTCCCCCCCCCCTCCTTGTTCGGCATCAGGGTTGGCGTGCGTGCCCCTGTGCTATCTTATATATACCCATCGCGTTCCTCATCCAAGGCAATGCATCAGCAACTCCCCACGTTGCCACGTCGAAAACCAGACCAATTGACACATTCAATACCAGTCTAAAAATAGGACGCCAATCGCAGCAGAAGTGTGAAGACGTTGTCATAACAAATGTGGTACTTGTGCCATGCGTCGCTGCACCTTGTTGGTGGTGAACGCGATGCCACATTATAGCAGCTGCATATACCCACGCTATCTAATAGATCCCCCGCGCTCTGCTGCAGTGACAATGTTCGATAATGCGGGGGCGTTATCAAAGAGATTCTGCGCTATCCAGCGCCACCCAGGCTATACTCTGATCTAAGATAACACTGAAGGTGTTCTTTTCGCCATATTGCCAGTGTGTAAGGTGACAATGGTCTCCTTTGGCGAGTGCAGAATTTGTTCGCAGAATAAGCAACAAAGGAAAGGCACACATTCTTGATACACATATCCAGGCTCTGGGGACATCCAAGGATATGGCCAACTACATTTTTGGGATATGACCATGTGCTCACACGTATCCTCGACTTTTCCCATGCCATGGAGGCCCATATCCCGGGTATGCATTTCTAGGATATGGTCACATATCGGATATGCATATCCGGGATATGGAGCCCAAATCATATTCGATATCTAAGGTATGAGGGACCCTAACCTGTTTTCAAATCCAAGGGATGGCACTTTTGCCAATGTGCAAATGACTCGCACAACATATCTTGACAGGTGCTCTGGCGATTGGAGGATTCAAATGTGAGACCATAACAAATGTTGCAACTCTTACTATCTGACATGTCAATTTTGCGGGCTGGCATGGCAAATGAGCACCTACAACAGTTCAAATATCTAGCACAAAGGATTTGCGTTGTGGGCTTAGTGCAATATTGTTGCTTGTTCCCCACTCATCGATAGACAATGCGGCCAAGCAGCCAGTGTGGTTTTGTGCTTTGCTGAGGTGAACAACATGCAATTGGCTGCCTTATTGCTGGACAAGTCCTGTATAAGATTGGATAATGACTGAACAAGTCATGTCCACTGCCACAATTGGTCAGGTACATTTGCACAGTAGACATGGAGTTGTATTACGTTTGCATAGTAGAAGTTCAATACGGAAATAGTGGGCTGAATAATGGGGATGGATTAGAGACATGAACATTGAATAAGCAAGCAGCTCAGTTAGAGATGCTTGGGAGAAATGTGGACATTAGACAGATTGCATAACGGGATGTACCAGCATGGGCGAAACCCAGATGGCTTGGCCAGCATTCCAAGATGTTTTGCAAAAAAGGTATGCGCAAGTGGAGTGTCGTGTTTGTAACAGCATTACTCTTGACACAACATTTGTGACCAGAATCACCGTGGCGTGCACCAAAGTTAAGCCCATCGAGGGTTTCATTGTTGCATTCACATTGCTGATCACTCACAACGCCATAGTGGTATTGGTACAGATCGTGCTGATAGTCAATAAATTGGTATTCATTTTGCCTTACATTAGAAATGCACCATATAGAAACTTAAGGTCCCCATATCCTCTGCCATAATCTGAAGTCACTGAGTTGTGAGCGTATCCTCAACATCAACCTATGAGGATATCTAGAACATCGAGTGAGGGCTGAGCCATGCACAATGAGGGTGCGCGCATCCAAGATTTTTAGGACTTAGATCCCATGTCCACACTATGATTATGTACTACATATCTATATGTGTGGTGTGTCACACTCATTCAAGACATGTAACTTTCTTTGGAGGCAGCGAAGGAGTTTCATAGGCCATTGCATCTTGGTAAAACCATGCCCAACATTGTCCACAAAATGATGGCATGATCATTGAAGTTAACGCAAATGAAAGCCAAAACTTGGGCTTGGTCGTTGATGACGACTGCGTTCAAAGATAAGTGTGGCAAATCCCTTCTGTGATAGAATTACATGGGGAGACCGTTTGCTCCCTTGACTTTTCCCCCTGTTCACTGAGGCCTCTTATTGGGAATATTATTATCTTAATTTATGTTAATTGACAACCCGATTAAGGGCCCTAGTAGATGGGATTAGGGCCCTGAGGAGGCACTCTTTTATTTGGGTGATTTCTGCCCAGCTGCAATACTTTACGGCAGCTTGGGGAACGGCTGTACATTGCACGGTTGACTTTGGTTGTTTTTGGGCCCACGGCGGGCGACCTGGGACGCGGTACGCCCTGCCGCACAAAAGACTTGCGGTTGTGATATTAGTAATCTATTGTTGCACGTTGATTCTGGCATCGGCCTCTGGATCGCGCGGATCGGACCACAACCCGCGCGACCGAGCTTGCAGCACCCGGACTCCCGCGCCGCGGCCCCAGCAACCCTCTAGGGATCTGGGCCCACCACCTAGGAGTGCACCGAGCGCGCGCCCCATCCAAGCCGCGGCCAATCGAGGCCGCGAGGGCCATTACCGGCCATCCGGCGCTAAGGCGGCGGCAACGCGCGATTCGAAAACCAGCACCCAATCACCTTCGTACATGCAACAATACTTTATAGGGCTGACATGCCTTCAATCCCCCTTCAGTACGCACTCTCACCTCCACTCTAAAGATGAGTTGATGCGCCCTGTAAAAATTCGGTTAAACACATCAAGCGATGCCCACGTCACCCTGACCAGTCACCCACTTTGCGCTTTCAACAATTCATTGGCCCTTTGTCCTCCTCCTTCCATTTTCCTTACCAAAGCGCCAATGGTAATGCGCCCATCATTGTAGAGTGATAGGTGCTAGCCACTCACCAACTAATCTGCGATCGCCTCATAATCCATATTTCGCATTCATCTTTAACGGTCCTCATGCCCCATTATGATTGACGCCAAGACCATCAAAGCATACCAATTCCCACACCCTAACCAGCGCAATTTGACACTCTGTATTGTACTTACCATGGACTCTGAGTGAGGGAAAATGCACATCATTCAGCGACCCAAGAGGCCAACTCACGCTGTAATGTGAGGTCATCAGGATCTGCTCTGCATTGCGAACTTTACATATTCCCGCCGGCAAGTCTAGGCGCCAGTCGGACAGATGACAAATCCTTACATCCCCAGGACTTGCAAACTTTGACCTCTGCTCCACTGGGGTGGACAGAGCCGTATTTGCATCTGGTGGGTATGACATGTCATGCCCGCCTCTCATCACGAACTCACAATGTGACACATGTCATGTCCACTCAACCAAAATGTTTGTTTGTTATTACACATCACTTTTCAACCCACGCCACTATGCATCGCAGCCCATCGCCATCACTTGGCGCCCTGAAATGCGTCACCCTACACCTCGCGATACATAACTCTGCACTGTGCGCCTCATCATCCTGCACCATGCGCCTTATCGCATTGCACCCCATGCTGCATCGTGTTGCACTGCGCGGTTCACCCACTTCCTCTACGTCATTGGGCAATCAAAACCCATGCCAACGTCAGCCTCCTATGATGCCCCATAACCGCCGCTCCTTCAGGACCCCGGGTGCCGGCGACCGCCATGATGGCCCTGAGTGACATTCTTAGTGATGCACTAAAAAATAATCCCATCACAGGCCTGCTCCCATGCTGCCTTGAGTCAAACGGCCAGCGCCCTCATTCAGTGACCAAAACACAAAAGTGGCCACAAATGTTGGTTATTTTGTGGGAAATCAAACAAACTTCAATATTCTTTATGAGGGTGGCAGATTACCTACCTCGTGTAGCTGAGCCAGTGAATGCATTGATGGGATCTAAATGCTATTGAAACATGCACCCTATGTACAAATTTATTGTCTTCAATGCCACCTTCATCTGAAATTGGCAGAAGAGAAATTGGTATAGCTGTGCAAAGACTATCGATACTCATTATTGTTTGCACACAACTTGAGCTATTGCCAGCAAACTTGCAACATGTAGTGCTTCCACTTACCCAAGCCACTTCACTAAAATACCCAAAACGCCATTGTTGAAAGTGTAATTGATAACAAGTGTGGCAACGAGCCAACTCAAACAATGTAATCAGCTCAT